CCCCAAAACCCCAAAACCCCAAAACCCCTATTTTATAAATCTTAATTGAAATTTAAGCCTCAGGATATTGCATTTTCTGAAGTAGATCAATTCTCTCTTCAAACAATTTGTTGTACTTTGACTCCCAGTTTATGATATCCATCTGTAGAGATCTGATTTCTTCCTTGGCAGAGTTTAGCTCATCATCCTTTACTGCTATTTTTACTGCATAATTATCAGCCTCTTCTTTCGCATTCTCTTTTTGATAAAATAGCAGATGATTCTCTTTACTCAAGGTAGCAACTAGAGCTTAAACGAATAGAGGCTTACCTTTGTTTGCTAGCTCGAGGTATTTGGTTTTCATTGATTTCCGGTTAAGAGTTTTCATTGACTCAAATTCAGACTGGAATTTATCCAACTGAATTTGGTTAACTTTCATCTGAGCCTTAAGTTCTTCCACTTTGTTCCTACTATCCCTCTCTATCTCTCTGGTTTTGTTGACAACGCTTGAGAGACTAATAAGTGATTCCTGGATTATATGAAAATATGGAATGTCATCATCAACCTGAACGCTCATGGTGTCTAAGGTTAGCTGTAAAAGTACCTTCTTTTGCTTTCATTTGTTCGAATAAGATTTCAGGAATCTCAAATCCTTTACAATAGACACTCTTCTTTAATATTTTTGAAACAATGTCAATGTAGTACTTTGTCTGCTTGCTTTCCTTGCTCATTCTTTCAAGTGCAATGAATCATTTTTGTCTAAAGAATTAAAAGAGAAATTACATTGATTGAAAGCTAGGCTTTTCTGCTGTCTGATGGGCAGATACCCCTTCTAGATGAGTTAGACCAGGCATTTTTACCAAGTATTCTGATTAAATCTTGTTGTAACATTAAACTATCATCAAATTCTAAAGTAAAAGATTAGTTTACCAAGATTGCTGTTCTTCCTAGTTCTCATGCTTGTCTTAGACGAAAATTTCTTGTGTGAATGAGCCTTTACAGAGCTTAATTTTGCTGCCTCATGAGATTTGTCGTGGTGAGGAATTGAAATCACTTTTTGAGACCTTTGCTGGGCTAAATTCATTCTGAGATCTATCATGCTGCCTCTGTTGTTTGGCATCTTCCTTGCATTCCTCTCAAATTTATAATTCTTAGTCTTTTCTTGAGGAGCCTCTTCGCTATTTTCACTTTGGAAGCTATCCTTTTTGGGTTTGATTCTTGATCTTCAAAATTTTGACTTATTTCGTTTCGTAATTTCCTTAAAATCTTGATTATTTTCATCGAGGGTCTATACAAATGAGGCTAGGGTTATATTTTCATAGAGTATTACCTTTCGGTAGTCTCATATATGAAGGCTCGAGATCCTCTATGTTAGCCTGCACAGCTTGATCATGCATAGTTTTAATGTGCTGGCTTTCTTTTCTTAGTCTATAAATAATAAATATGCACAGAAATGAGATGAGACTAATTTATCGTTACCTTTCACTGATCATATCCTGTAACTTCTTTTGGTTTTGGTGGGTTTCAACCCTAGAGATAATTATTTCTCTTACAGATTATGGACACGTTGCTTTGATGTTTTCATTCTGTGCAATACTTTGTCTTGGAGGTGACTCATGATCTCAGCTGCGATATTATCAGGCAAAAATACTTTCTATTTTACCAACTTTTCCTTTGAAGGTATCTTTCAAAGTTCTATTTTCAGTCTAATTTCTCATTGATTTGGGAATCTAGGTAGGTCTTAAGTCCCTATTTGGTAAGTAAAGTGCTTACTGTTTCAAAGAGATGAGTTGACTCCCACTTATCGAATTTGAAATCCCTGTTATAGCTTTTTCTTCCAGAGTTGTGTTTATTTTGCTAGAAGTTGTAAATAATGAATACTCCAGTGCTCATCTCTGCTATTTACCCATTTTGAAGCAGCATCATAGATCTTCGGGCGATGGATGGACTCTATTGGAATATTATAGGATAAAGTTACCTTGAGATCTGTTCCTCTTCTTAACTGTGACTTCTTGAACTGGAGTAATTCAGCCTAAATTTTATAAAAAAGGAGCTTACTGACTGTGTTAAAGTCCATAACTCTGTAGTTTACATAAGCTGGCTTAGTTGTTTTACTACTTCTTTTAGGCTTGAATTCCTTCATTTGTTCTACAATTGAGTAAAGTTGAATATAAATGCTCCATTAGAAGTAGTAATTATTAAAAAGATATTTGCTAAAGAAGAAAGTAATGAGTGGAACCTCCCTCTCAAAGTATGCATGAGAAGTCTTATTTGCTTACTGGCGATCTGCTTTGGGACTCAATTGTTATTCATATTGTATATTTTAAAATAAATAATATACTGGGGTTTTGGGGTTTTGGGGTTTTGGGGTTTTGGGG